GTCATCCACATTGCCAGCAGCTCCTTGGATGCAGCCAAGAGGGCATTCACCGATTTGTTCTTTTTCGATTCGATGGTTTTCTGGTTTTCAAATGGCATTGTCCCCTTATTGTTGCATTCCCTCAGCGCTTCATACTTGCATCTCGGGCTCGAACCCTGAACTGATCACGTCTTTCAAAATCGCTATCAGTCGTGTCGCATATGTTAGAACGAAATCAATTAATTTTTTAAAGATTGTGATACCATTGAAAATTCTGTTTTTACGCAAAAACATTATAGCGGATGGATAATTTCATTTCTTTAAGCGTTCATATACAAATATCACCAACAGAGAATACCACATTGACAACCTGGGCAGTATTGGTATTCTTGGTTGTTATTCTAAATTGCTGAATACTGATTGGAAGCATGAGCTTTGGAATAAATTCTTTAAAAAACAAAGCCCAGCTTCTAGTTCAATACTTCTTACTATTAACATTCTTATACAATTGATTTAAACCCATTAACTCCGTACCACAATCGTCGTAGTGACGAGGTCCAATTGTGGTAATGGTGAGAACTGTATACGACTTTATGGACCGAAACATTCTTACCATTGAAATAATTCTTATGATTTACAAATTTTGTAATTCTCACCTCCTACCTTATTTTACTCTTCCTTTTTCATTTGTTTTTAATACACCCTACTTTTTATTCTGTTCTAGTTGTCAGCATGTGGCTGATTGTATTTAGCATGCGTGAATTTCAAAGTACGCAAAGATTTTGTACTTCGAATTCAAAGAAAAATCATTAGCTACCTGCACATGCATCCGAATAAGGCCCAAAAATGCAGAGAATTCAGAGACGGGAAAGGTTACAGAGCAGTGATTGAACTAACCGAAAAGCAGAAATGTGATAGTGATATGACAATGCGCACATATATATACACACACTACGTCAGCAGTTTTATCAAGTGGACCAGAGACTTCGTTATCATTCGTGTTTTTTTCATAGTTCAGTGATCGATAACCAAAACAGTTTACTTTCAGTTGTTTGCACTTCTCATGGATTTCGACGGTTCCTAACCCAAAACTCCGCATCGATCGACTCTCCTTTGTGCATTGCGTCCCTCAGTGACGGCTTTCTGCGCTCTACTTTAGTATTCGTTCTCTGCGATGAACTTTAGCAAAAAAAGCATTGATGCGCTAATGGTTCATCTTTGCTATAGCCCTCTTGCCCGCTAAGCACAAATGAAGCCAAAACTGAGACAAAGAGAGCGAGTAAATTCTGGAAAAAAAATGTGAAGGTGTTGTGAAGCGGGAAGAGAAAGTCCGATTATAAATAGCGCATTATGAATGATCTTCTTAAGAAAAATAATCGTGTCTCGGCTTTTTGCTTCGATGCGATGTCACTTTACGAGGTTTGCAATTGTATTTTAAATCAATTAACGTTTTTTGCAATCGGTAATATGCATTCAGACATCCTGGAACTCTTTCAAATAATACTTTTTCAAAAAATATTCGTCTTCAGTATTCGTCGTTGAATGATACCAAGAAGAAGTGAAATCTTTCTGATCCAATTCAATGAACAATCAAAATTTTTAATTCAATGAACAATCAAAATTTTTTGCTTCTTATCATTTTCAAAAAAAAAAATAAGCAATAAATGGAAGAACAAAGAGCTGCGCACTTGAAAAACTCGGACAGACATCTGGAAACATAAAAAGTTTTGACACGAGCATGCATTTTTGCGCGGTTTATAACGCACGCTTATTATTCAAGTTTTCTCGCTCTTCTTGTTTCTGATTTGAAAAAACCTGAACACACGTCTGAAAACACGCAGACTCTCGGCAATACGCTTTTTCGTCGCTCATTTAGCGCAAAAATGCTTACAAACTCATATTGAAATAATAATTTTATAAACATTTTTTTGTCGAACACTATGTTTTTGTTTGAGATGTGCTTGTTACCGGCTGAACTGCCTTTTATGGTACAGATAATCAATTCACATACAGCAGTAGAAGGGAGGAATGAGACGAGTAAGGCTTAAAACACTTTGTTAACTTTGGTAAGGAAAATTGCCTCTTCGAGAGCATTTTCCTCGCAGTTCATAAAAGAATGCTTTTGAAGTTGGCATTTTTACGCTACACCACTCGAAACCCCAAAAAGTTCATCCTTGAAACAATAGAAAAGGTGTATAATCAAGAGTGTTTGGACTTCTGGCGTGAAGCTTTCGATGAGACAGTGTTCCAGCATTAGACTAAATGCACTGAAGACTTCTGGCCCGGACTGCTTGTGCTTAATCAAGCGTATATCAAATGTTAATTTACATCACGAATTTTTGCATGGATGCTGGGCAAATGCTATATTTGGTCTAAAGTAATTGAATTTGAGCATAAAACGCAAAATCACCGTGCACCAATTTTTGCTAGTCCCTTGCTTTCGGACCGTCTTTTTGCTGTGGCAAATTTCGCTAAACTTCATTTCATTTAGGGCGTTATGGCGTTTTCTTCTCACTTGCATATTGAAAACAAATATTTTTTGTCAAAAATTTCAAATGAATGTAATCAAGAAAATTTTTTCATCACAGGGATGTTTGAAAAACGATTCTATCCAGTTTTTATGCGTTTTTTGTATATACGCAAAAACGTATATGGTGACGAGCCACTGTGTACATGTGTGTATGTTCATGTGTATGTGTGCGTACGTGTGTATGCGTCTCTCCGGGTATTTCAACTCGACAACCAAGCAAGCTTCGGTGCTGGAAATTTGTTAGTGGGTTCCCGCCTATTTTCCACTCCAGCACCCAGGTACCAATTCTCACGCACTTCTGGGCTCCGGCTACAAACATGTGAGTGCTTTAGCGGAGAAACTGCTAACTCGATTACCGGAAAAGTTGGGAGAATGAAATTTTAAGAGGCTGTTCCTAGCCCACATATAACTTAGAGATTTTAAATTCATCCCCCAGGTGTGCATGGCTTTCACCTATGGAAACACAAAAGTTTTGGCAGCAGAACCGCTCAGTGGTCAGCTAGTTCGTTTTCAAAAACTGACTGTTAAGTGAAATTTGTTCACTTTTCTTTGTGCAAAATTTAAGATGATTTGCGCTAGTGAGCACACGGGCCAATTGTAAAGCAAAAACCATTCATATAGCTAACGACCCCATTGCTTTTCAATTATAGTTCAAAAACGCTTGATCGCACCGGCAGTCTCATGCGTTTCAGCCCAGGTTAGCCTTTCTTTGAATCGCTTGACGAGCCGTCACGTGACAAATCATTACGATTCCTGTACTTCAGCAGCTGCTAATGCTAGTAAGCTCAAGTTTAGCCAAATGTGATCGTTTGTTTTCTCATAATACATAAAACAGTGATTTAGCTGGCGATGTTAACAACACATCTAAACAGCGGAAAAGTGTCAATTAGACGTCAGAGTGAACATACAGTGAAAATGATTGTGGAAGCAAGCATAAAAGGAATTAGAATACACGCTTATGGGTAACAAGGAAACACGATCCAGAGGGAGCGCCAGCCAGCCACTCCTTCTTTGCAGTGTTTGGGAAAAACTAAATTCAATGCGCTTTTTTGTGTTTGAAATAACTGCTGTTGTCGTTCTTTGATCGTACGACACAGTAGGAACACGGGCCCGATCAGCGCACTGATATGGAACAATCAAGCACTGCCTTATCAGTTTTCTCAAAACTTGTAATTTCAAATGAAAAAAAAAACACTTTACTTAATATGATTTCAAAAAAAAAAGTTCCGTAATTTTTAATTTGACTTCAAAAAAGTTCTGCAACATTTCAAGAAGTTGAACTTTTTAAGAGTGACTTCAATAACAGTCCCTCAAAAGATGAACACACAAATATATTAAAAATTCTGCGGTCGATGAAAGAGGTGTCGAATAAGTAATGAATACAAATTGGAGGAATGCAACCTGGGGTCGAAGGGTCTCTGTTCATGATGTGTGGGCACATAACAGTAACAGCTGCTCACGATGTGTGGGGCCTCCCAAACTGATTGCCCGGGCAGTCTTGGTATATTCTTCCTCTCATTGAATAAAAAGGTCTACAACGGTGATGAATTTACTGCCGTTCAGAATACTGAAGTAGACTCTCAGCTTGCTTCTGAATCTACAGCAAAAATGAAGAGCGCTTTTAGAGCAAAATGAAGTAACGGGAATTAAAAACCGCGATTATTCATGGCTGAGCTGCGACAATAACAGCTGAAATCTGGGGATCATTTTTTGCAAATCTGATCAGTGAGCGGATCATTATCGCACCGCACAAATACTGCCATCATGCGGATTTATGCCTTTTTTTAGTTCGAATAACAGTCAACAAATTTTTGGACTTTTTGGACGAACTTTCTATGTCTAAATCACTAATTTACCGCTCCCATCGATAATGAGCATCTACGATTTGTTGTTGACAAAAGTTTTTTATGTATGAATTTCCCTTTTTAAAACCGTATAAGCAAGTGGATGAGAAGTTGAGCTCTTATTAACATTGTTGAGCAATTAGCCCTGCACCATCGGTCTGGATGTGCTTATTCCACGCACAGCAGGAAGATTTCGACCCAGCTTGTACTTTCCCGGACTTCTCATGTCTTTTGACAGAAGCAGTGGTCATAGAACCGTCAGAAACTGATGTCTCTGCCATTTTTCTATCCCAGTCTTCGAATTTAGAAACCTACGCTTGATTATCTGGATATTTAAGAGGCAAGTATGCAAAGTTTTTCAGCTGAAATTCGGGTTTTTCTGATTGTAGCCCTGAGAATTTGATCATCAACTGATACATTACTACAGTAAAGAACCTAAATTTCTTATTTCAAAACTTCGCCACAGAAGTGTTATTTACTGCCCGCTCTGGTGTGGCCAAGAAGCCCTTAGTATGCAGATCTGTAAAAACAATTTGCAGTTTATCATCTAGCAGACTGTTTTGAATTTAATAATCAAACAAATTGACCGTTAGAGAGTTAAATTGTTTCAGAAAGTAATAACAGGGAGAATGAAACGGAATCGAAGTCTAATTTTGATGATCATTCATTTTGCCTGGAAAAATGATCTTTTTGCCACCCTTTGGCAGCGGTGCAGCTAATTCAGGCGATCCGGGAAATGCATCAAAAAGCTGTTTGTTGTTCTTTCTCGCAATTAGCCAGCTGCTTTCGGGCAATATAAAACTCAGACCGGCAATATTCAAATTTGCCATTTTTTCGAAAGTTCTCGGGACGTAGTGGCTCGCACTCACCGGAGCATGTACGCGGATATATGAGGAATCTGCAACAAAATATAACCAAAAACTGTGCCAGTATATATTTTTGAAGCTTAAAACTGATTCATCACACTGCATGTACAAATTTATTGCCCTGTCTTTTGGATTGCGAGCGGACAGAAAAGAACATCCTCCCAAAATTTCAGCTTGCTAATCTACCTGCTCTCCTTGCCAGCAAATGTTCGCAGAAAATTTTACGTGTAAAAACGCAAAAGACAATTGTTCTTAAAGCTAAATTTGAAATCTTTAAATTGTTCATAGATAGTAAAATTTTCTTAAAATTTCTAGCTTTCTAGCTTTTCTGGTCCTGAGCTAGCGATTTTCCTACCAAAACTTTCATGCCTTCGCAAGTGGAATTCTGAAGTGCATTTGATATCACGCTCCTGTATGCGTTTTCGCATTTTCATAAATGCGCAGAAAAACGCAACGCCGATTGAACGGCCTCTCATCGGCGGTATCTCCTTCCGTTTGCCATACATCCGATGACGGGAAGAGACTTTTAGTGAGAAGAGACATTTGGTGGAAATAAACGGCTGCTAAGCAGCTGAGGATGCGTATTCTTTCGCAGGAAAAAGATTTTGGTGGGAAGAGACGACTGATAATGCCGTTAGAGGAAGACTGTATAAAATTAAAAGGCTGCCAGTCCCTCTTTTTAATAAATTTTCATTGCTTGTACGAAACCATCTTCATACACAATTAAAGTACTTGTGCTACAGCAGATCTAAAGGCTGTAGCTTCTAGGCGACAGAAGCTTGGTTCATGGTTAGCAGATTATGATCTGAAGGATCCAGATAATTCTTTGTCAGTTCATACTGTGTTGGAGGGGAGGCTTCATTCTCATGAATGTGGAACTATGCGACATAAAAGTCAGATAAAATCAATTTTAATATGTACGAAATCAGCACATGCTTAATTCGTCGGTCTACAACTAGGCAGAGCAGTGGAAGTATTGTGCCCCTGAAACACTACCTAGATTATGCTTAAAGTGAAAAAAAAAAAACGTGTAATGTACATTTGCTGCATTAGAGACCAAGGCTGCGATGCACCAGGCCTGTCGGTAGTATCATGCAATTTTGCATTAAAATTAAAACAATCAGGTCTTTAATTTTATGAGTATTTGTTGCTTTCATTTACCTTGCGCACTCATTACAAAAAAATACCGTAAATTTTGCATGCAGTAAAGTGAACAATTTCCGGTATCCAGTTAATAATTGAAAATGATCTAGCTGTTTTGTTCTCAAATCAGCAATTTTCCTTTCAAAATCAGGCGCGCTTAGGAATTGAATTTGAAATCTTTGAGTTGCACTTGAGTAGGGAATATCCTCTTAAAATTTCGACTTCCTGCTTTTGAGCTTGCAAACTGGTGGTTTACCAGCCAGGACTTTCACGCACCCGTAAGTGGGCTCAGACGTGCATAGAATTTGTTACCACCTTCTTAGAACAACGCTTAGTCAAGAGACCCCACAGGCAAAGTTTCTGCATCAAAAATTGCCTGCTTGCGGAGTTCAAATATCCGGGCAGACGCAATATACAGACACATCGTGAGTCGTCACAATATGCGCTTTTGCATTCAAATGCAAAAATGCATAAAAAAGGGAAAAACGAAAGTAACCTCAAATTTCGAGTGTCAATAATTGCGGTCAGATGGAATGCAGCATTGCAAATTATCAGCATATATTCGCATAGCGCCTGGTACAGTGGCACTAAATTAATTAATTTAGAATTGATAATGAAAAATTTTGTTAATTGGCAAATTGCTCTAACCCGCTGGTTTTAAAGCATAGCTATTTTTGATTCCATTTGCTGTAATTTAGCGTAATTTGAAATGAACTACCAGATATGCGAAAGCATCCTTTCGTGAAAATTGAAAAAAAAAAATTATGCAAACAAACCGTAATAGTGGCAAGCCGGGCTGCTGATAAAACGGCCGTGAAAAATGATAATTTGTGGTGCTGCAATTCCGAATCCAATCAAACTTACCAGTTTTATTGACACTGATACATGATCTATCGCCTGCAAATTTGACAAATCAATTCATCTAAACGTTTCAAAGGCTGCTTAACCATTGAAAAAATGGGAAATCCCTTTTCCTCTTTCGCTATCTCTTTTCACTATAATAAGAACACATTCTTCATGAAATGAATTAAAATTATATACTCAGCAACAGTTTTTCAAACATGATATTTGTCTTCCGATATGAAAGTACTTGAATTTTAAACAAAATGTGGATATCTTCAAAAGCTTTTCAGTTTTGGCGGCTCTTCAAATCCCAAATCACTGTGTTGTTTTCATTTTTATGCGTTTTTTGCAGCAATGCAATGCGAAAAAAGCATATTGACGAGAGGTTGTCTGTGTG